TGTGCCTGGCCCCTTTAATCCTAATTGTATTGTGTGATTGTGCGATGCTTGCTTCTGTGCCTCTGAAGCATTACCCTCCTCCTTTCATTATCAACCAATGCCTTGAACCTCTTTTAATTTCCATTCTGTTTTATTTCATTCAATCATTGGCTCTGTCTTTCCTTTTTCATTAACTCTGCCCTTTGCACAAGGCATAGGATTCTCTAAGGGGCCCTTATTGGGCTCCTTCATGAAATATTATATTAAAATATTTGACCATGAGAATTGTCAATTTTATATGTCTCCCATCGGCCATACGTTTCTGCTCGATGCTCATTTTGGTTTTGATTAGGGCTTGGTCCCAGCTATTGATAATCACAGATTGATATGGAGAGAGAATGAAGAAGAGGAAACAGATATGTAAACAGCAGAAGATGGACTGGGCCTGACCATGACTGGACACTTTCCCAGACATGTGGCACAAATCTTGAGGCATCGATGGCTTGTCTTTCACCGTTTTCCCAAAATAGCATTATGCTCATCACTCTTATGGCTGCTTCAAAAAGGGGCCTGGAATGGTGCGTGGGCTAATGAAATGTCTCCAAACCAAACAGATTTTTTTGTAAATATATATTTATTAATAGTAAAACAAACAAACACACACAATATATATATATATATATATATATATACACATATACAGTATGTATGTATATATAAGGTATATATAAGCAGACTTATCATGATACAATCACCTTTAAGACTTCCTTGGAATTTAATTTAATAACTGCATATGAGGTGATGCCCAGGCAAAGCAACTCAGTCTGCTTCTGAATAATGTCTGCATTCCCACTAGGTCAGACATTTGAAATGCTCTTCATGTGCTTTGTATATATGAGAGCATTTCCGTTGTAAACACACTCCCATTTCCGCTGTTGAATCCGCGATGTTACGCACAGAACTTAACTTACCAAGATAATTCCTAAGGGGTGAATATTGGCTTACAAAACAACATGCAACATAGTCGCAGAGGTTTTTGGCAGAGCACACTTCAAAATTCTCAGAGGGAACGCATCTATTGCAGCATCATGCGAGCAGAATCACAGCAGCAAATGGGATGTAAAAAGAATAAAAAGCATTGAAATGTCAACACGGGTTTGTGAGGAGTCCTGAGTGGGACCGCACGTTAGCAGTGGAAAAAGCCACTTAGCGCATCAGGACCATGGACAGCTACTGTACCACCGTATCCATCTCATGAACCCCGTGTGAAAAAAAGGGGGTCGGAACACGTGGGATTTACACAGTGTTACCACTGACTCGGAGAAAACCAGGGACAACCACTACAACTGAGATTAAACCGAATTGTTTTGCTGTATTTCATGGAATTATTGTTATTGAGTTGACTTTATTTCATATAGGCCTACCACTGAAGTATCCATCCATTTTCCAAGCCTCTTGTCCTGTGAAGTGTCGCGACCACTAAAATAAGCGTTGTCATTTGAGCGTCATGATCAGTAAAACATTTAATTTGCACTTAGACAAATACTGTACTGATTACCTTAGGTTCCTAAAAAATCAAATCAGGTGGATAAAATAGCAATAATGTATAAAAAAATATATATCTTCATATAAATCGCTGTATACATTTACTTATTAAGAGACATTTTTTTTTAAATAATTGATTTGGAATTTCTGTTGTCTTCCAAGATGTTTAAGGTAATTCATTTGACTGTTAAACAGAGGGCTATTATAAAAAAAAAAAAACAATTCAAGTTCAATACAGCAGACGGGTTTCTGTAGGTCGATCATCTCGTAAAATACTAGCTCAACCTTTTGCTTTAAATTGATTTGCTATTTTTTATTTAATTTTTTGCACGTAGGGCCTACCTACCTCCGTTGCCTTTGTGCATCTCAGTCGACCTGCAAATGCTTGAGAGTAATACACTTTTAAATTAACAGTTCTCTGAGCATAAATGGTGCTCATGTCAGTAGCATATTGACCAGTAGCATATTGATACATGATGTCGAAAAATTACTGTCAGTTAAAAGAGCTTGAAAAGCCAAGTG